CTTCAGTTCTTTCAGCTTGAGAAATGCTGAGTGTGTTCTTTCCTTTTGGTTTTCTAACTCCAGGTCTTTGCACTTTCATTATAATATACTTTACTCTGTCTTCCTGAGGCACCTTTGAAATCTTCTACTAAGTCCTTTTACTTCATCTTTTCATCCATTCACTTTAGCTACTGCACATTCAAGAGCAAGTTTCAGAGTCTGTTCTGACATCCATTTTGATCATTCCTTTCTTTCCTCTATTTTCAATCATCTTTCACTTTCATGATGTGTGATGTCCTTGGTGTCATCCCACGACTTATCTGGTCTTCCATCATCAGGGTCTAATGCATCTAACCAATTCCTGAGATGGTCTCTAAATTCAGGTGGGATATACTCAGAGTTGTACTTTGGTTCTCATGGACTTGTTTTAATTTTGTTCAGCTTCACTTTAAACTTCAATATGAGCAATTGATGGCCTATTCCACAGCCAGCTCCTGGCCTTGTTCAGATTGATGATACTGAGCTTCTCTATCCATCTCTCCTTCCACAGATGTAGTCAGTTTGATTCCTGTGTATCCTATCTGGTGAGGTCCATGTGTACACACGCCATTCATGTTGTTGAACAAAGGTAGTTCCAGCAGCCATTGATCTTGCAACATTCTATCATGTGATCTCCGGCATCATTTCTATCACCCAGGCCAAATTTTCCAACTACTGATCCTTATTTTGCTTCTTAGTTTCACATTCCAGTCTGCAGAAATTAGCAATGCATCTTGATCACATATTTGATAAATTTCATACTCCAGAAGTTGGTAAAGATCTTCAATTTCTTTGTCTTTGGTTTCAATGGTTGGTGCATAAATTTGAGTAATAGTTATTAACTGGTCTTCCTTACAGGTGTATGGATACTATCCTATCACTGACAGCATTGTACTTCAGGATAGATCCTAAAATCTTTTTTCAATGAATATGATGCTGTTTCTCTTGAATTTGTCATTCCTGGCATAGTATACTAAATGACTGTCCGATTCAAAATGGTCAATACCAGTCCATTTCAGCTCACTAATGCCTAGGATATTGATCTTCAAGTATTCCATTTCATTTTTGACAGCTTCCAATCTTCCGAAACTCATACTTTGCATATTCCATGTTCTGATTATGAATAGATGTTTGCAGCTGTTTCTTCTCATTTTGAGTCGTGCCACATCAGCAAATGAAGGTCCCCAAAGCTTTACTCCATCCACATCATTAAGGTGACTTGACTTTGAGGAGGCAGCTCTTCCCTAGTCATATTTCAAGTGCCTTCCAACCTGACTGAGGAGCTCATCTTCTTGTACTAGATAATCAAATATTCCACTGCTGTGTATAAAGTTTTCACTGGCCAATTTTTTTCAAAGTAGATCAGTAGGTCCTTCTTCCTAGGCTGTCTTAGTTTGGAAGCTCTACTAAAACCTGACCACCAAGGGTGACCCGGCTGGTGGTATGTGAAATACCAGTGGCATAGCTTCCAGCACCACCACTGTCTGTCAGTTTGTTGTACTGACTGTATGGTGGCATACAGTAGGTAATAATAGATCATATCTCACATGATCCCCATAAAAGGAATGCAGGAGCAGTTTGGAGGTTAAATGGATCTTCATTCTCTTTTCATGCTTTGATAAATATTTGAAATTAGTTTGCATACTTTATACACTTAAAATAGGCAGTTATATCAAATGAGCAAAGATATGGATATTGATGAAAAAAGAAAGTTGTGCTGGCAAGAGTGTGAGGAAGGAGGAGATTTCAGATATGGCCAGGTGGGAATGTAAATTGGGGTAATCTTTTTGGATGGAAAGCTTTAAAAGTGTGGTATGCTATTTGACCTAGTATCTATTTAACCTAAGGAAATAATATGGAATGGTAGCTAAGATTTAGAAAAACAATGGATGTTACCACCACTGTAGTTATAACAATAAAGTGAAAATATCTAAATGTTCAATAATATGTTTAATAAATTATCGTTATCTCCCTCAAATTGAATACTATACAGTCACTAAAATGATGCTATAAGAAAATATTGTTAATGCAAAGATGATCACAACATAATAAACAAACATCATAAGTTACAAACAGCATGATACATTTTTGTTTAAAAAGACACATGGGGCAGAAACCATTATCAATGATGCTTATTTTCTTCTCCTTGCTTAAGTTATTTTCTAAAGTTCTGCAATTAACATGTATCACTTTTGTAACAGGATAGTAAAAGTCAAGTGTTTTCTTCTTGTAAATGAGCAGAGTCTTGAAGTCTTTCTTGAACACTGCCTTCCAGCACAATCTTTCAGGGCCAGTGGTCATGTAAATTAAGTCAATTGTAATAAAGCATTTAGGAAGTTTCAAGGTAGTTAGTTAAACAAAGTAATTAAAATTCTGCTTAAATTTCTCAGAACTAGCAAAGCTTTAAAAAGATCTGCTGGTACAGTGGGTAAGGCATTTGGCTGCTATTCAAAAGGTCAACAGTTCAAACCCACTAGCTACTCTGGTAAAGAGATGAGGCAGTTTACCTCTGTAAAGATTTATAGCCTTGGAAACCCAGTGGGGGTCACTATGAGTTGGAATCGACTAGATATGGTAGTGGGCTTTTTATTTCCCAGTGTGTAAACCAAAACTCAACCCAACCCTTTGTCTACAGGTTGATTCTTATTCATAGTGCCCCGTAGGACAGAGTAGTAGTGCCTAAGGCATTTGATTGCTAACCAGAAAGCTGGTAGTTCAAACCCACCAGCCACTCCTCAGAAGGAAGATTGGGCAATCTACTTCTGTAGAGATAATGCTTCAGAAACCCGAGGGAGGGTAGTTATGAGTCAAACTGACCATGGCAGTGAGTTTGGTTTTTTTTTTTTTTTTTCCTGTAGGACAAAGTAGAACTGCCTCTTTGGTCCCCCCCCCCCCAGGCACTGCAATCTTTACAGAAGCATACTGCCACATCCTTCTCCTATGGAAAGGATGGTGGGTTTGAACCAAGGACCTTTAGTTAACAGCTGCTTAACCACAGCTGCTTAAGGCTGCTGTAAACAGATACCAGGCTCCATTTTTTCAAAAGGCCTAAAAATAGCATAAAATATGAATACCAATTATTCATTTAAGCAGCCATGGGCCATGTGTGTCCTACACAAGTGTAACCCGAAACCCACCCTCATCTCACGCTGCAACTTGGCTGCACATCTCAGCACAGGGTGTATTTGCTCTCCATTTCTCGATTTACTTTCCTGAACTCCAAATGGAGTGGAATTTCCATTGTAGAATTACCCATTAGCTCCAGGGCTAAATTTAAACCTTTAATTAATTTAATCCACTTATCTTAAACACATTGCTTCTTCCTCAGAAAAATGTAGTGAGGTTTCTTAGGTGCCTCAGAGCTTAATTCAGTGTGCCAATTGTTCCTTACTGCATTTGGTTAAGTCACCTGAATGAATACAGGTAAAACCCTGCACACGTTTTCTGACGCTCCTTGTGGGTGCCTTCCCCAGCGGGACAGGCACTTGTGAGTGTGGGTCTGGGAGGTGGAGCACACTGCGACCCCTCCCTCCCTGATCCACAGTCTCAGTTCTGGGAGGGTCATCGCGTCTTTTTACAGGAACCCATCTTTATGGAAGATATGATAGACGAGGGAACTCTGGTGGCGTAGTGCCTAAGGTATTTGCATTTGACTGCTAACCAAAAGGTTGGCGGTTCAAACCAACCAGCCACTGCTCGGAAGGAAGCTTGGGCAATCTACTTCCATAGTGATACTGCCTCAGAAACCCAAGAAGGGGTCGCTAAGAGTCGAAACCACTCCATGGCAGTGAGTTTGGTTTTGGTTTTTATGATAGATGGACGCCAAAGACATGTTTATGAAACCAATGGCAGAAAGTACCTGGCTATGAGGGCCCAAGTTTATGGCGGTGGGGTGCGGGGTGGGGCGTTTGGGGAGTCACAAGCCCCAAAAAGCAAAGTGACAAGGTGCGAAGTTACCTTAGCCCATTGCGGTCTACATAGAAAACGAAGCCCATTTCAGCGCCAAAGTAAAAACTTATGTTGCCCTTTGACAGAAATAAATGAAAAGCGACAACTCTATGGATGTGTAAATTCGTCTGGCCACGTGGGCTCTGATGCACCCTGACCTTGCTTTACCTCAGGGGGTGCATCCTCGGCTTGCGAATGAATGAGACCCAACCTCTAAAGTCAGCAAACAGCTTTGAGGTGGGCTGTCCACGAAGAGGCTGTGAACCAACTGGTATAACTAAATCAATAAGAACCTACATTTTTCAGGGTCCAGTTAACTCTCTTGCCGGTCAAATCTCTGTGTCGCCCCCCCCCCAAATTACCCTGCAGCCCCCCAACTCTCCCGGGAACATATCCCACTCCGTGACTCACGGGGTATTGCTCACACCCCAAATTCCTGGTCCGAGTGAGCCCGGGAAACGTGCTCGCCTCCTGCACCTGGCTCCTGCACTCCCCAGGCGCCACCAACTCTTCTGGCTGTACATTGCTGGGCGGATCCTCCGCCCCGCTTTCCCTTCCTCCTCCTCTTCCTCCTCAGCGGGTCCCTTCGCCTCTAGCCGCCTGGTTCCGCGGCTGGCGCTTGCGGCTTTGTTTTCCTCCCAGGTTTCATTCCCCACACGTGATACCATGTTATTGCAAAGAGCGCTTCGGAGCGCGAGCGCGGGGCGCGCGCACCTATAAATACGGACACCCGGGCCCGGGACCTGGAGACCGCGGGGGCGGGGAGAGCTCGGGACCGACCCACCGACCAGCGGGCAGGCGGACGTACAACCAGCCTGCCCAGCAAGCGCGCGCGTGAGCCCCGCAGCAGCGCCCCGAGCCCGAGCACGCGAGGGGCTAGCATGGCCGGCCCGCGGGGGGGCCCGGCCGCCGCGCACGCCGCCCGCGCTCTGCGCCCTGCCCTGCCCGGGTCGCCGCCGCTCGCGCCCGCCGCTTAGCACTCGGACGCCGCTTGCTGCTGGGGCACCGCCGAAGTACCGCCGCAGACGGACACAATGGCGGCGGCTGCAACCACCACGACCGCCTGCAGCAGCAGCAGTAGCAGCAGCGCCGGCACCGACGCCGCGGGCAACAGCGGCAGCGGATTGCAGCAGGCGCTGCCGCCGCCGCCGCCGCCGCCCCAGTCAGCAGCCGCCGGGCCGGCCCAGTTGCCGCCACCCGAGCCCCTTAGGAAGCCGCGCATGGACCCGCGGCGGCGCCAGGCTGCCCTCTCCTTCCTCACCAATATCTCGTTGGACGGACGGCCGCCGTTACAGGACGAGGAGTGGGGCGGCGGCGAGGAGAGCGGTGCGGTCAAGGCAGGAGGCGGTAGCGCCTGCGGCGCGAGGACCCGCCTCAGCCTGCTCGCGGCCGCCGATCGCGGAGGCTGCACAGCGCTCGCGGCTGCGGGCACAGCGGCGGCGGCGTTGGCGGCTGGACTCGGACCCTGCGCCCCGCAACCCTCGCCGCCGCCCCGGCCCCTGTGCGGCCACGCGACCGTGCCGGGCCCCGTAGCGGCCCGGGGATTCGCCAGCCCCCTGGGCGCGGGTCGGGCTTCTGGGGAGCAGCCGCAGCTGCCCGACGGACCGGGGACCGCCGAGCAGGAAGAGTCGGAGGAGGACGATGCCTTTACTAGCGTGCAGGTGCCGGCTGGAACCTTCTTGGGCTCCGGGACCCCCGGGACTGGGAGCGGCAGTCGGGGCCGCCTCAACTCGTTCACTCAGGGAATCCTGCCTATCGCCTTCTCCAGGCCGACCTCGCAGAACTACTGCGCCCTGGAGCAGCTGGGCCAGGGGGGCAGTGCCAGCGCCTTCGAGCAACTGCAAAGGTCCCGGTGAGTACCCAGGACAGAACGCGCACCCAGCCTCGCACAAGCTCCTTTTGCTGCGGGACATGTAGGTCGCTCCCAGTTCCCCGCGCCGAGCCGGGTCCCGAGTTTCAAACCACGAGGGCACGCTAAAGAGAGGGAGGCCACAGGAAATGTGTAATCGCATATGTGTGCAAAACACCTCACATGGAAAGAGTACGCTCCCGGCGCTTGTAGAACAGGAGCGTCAAGCTCTAGCAGTATGGGTCGGGACCTGGAAGTGCGGAGCTAATGAAAAAGCGACACCCAGACCTCCCATCACAAGGAGATCACGAACCTCCTGGAACCGGGGCAGACCCGGAGACGCGTTGTCCGCATGGTGGTTGTGCGGCACTTGGCAGACTCAAGTCCGGCCAGAGATGGCTTGTGGAGCCTCTGTCTGGGGTCCAGCCCGTAGCAGTGCTCGCGCGTGTGAGCCTAAAGTTGTGTCTGAAACGACGTGAATCCCTACTGAAAAGTTTTTGCCCGCGCTCAAAATATTGCTGGGGCACAGTACGAGTTGGCATTTTCCGTCCGCTTTTCTAAGCGGTAGCCCTTCTTACATTGCCTTGAACCAGGCCCTGAGAATGGGGGACAGGGAAGAAATAGGGCTTGAGGATTCTTTACTCCAAGATGAATCCTCTCGTTAGTTAAAAAGCTTGTAGTTCAACTAGGTCAGGTTCCCTGCAGGTATTAGGATTATAGCAAAATCATGAAATGTTAGACATTTGCTTATTGTCCGAAAACTGCTACAGCTTGTCCCAGTATGTTCAAGTCTGTCAGGGTTAGGTCTGTGTAGGGCAGAGACACTGGAGATGGGGAGAGGACGCTGGCTACTGGAGAGGAGGTGCAGACTGGCCCTTTACCTAGGTGTATCCTCCCTTGTGAGTTAATAAGGTCTGGGAAATGAGTTACGGCCTTCATCTTGGCTCAGTTATTTTAACCTCTCAGAGTCTCGGTTTCCCCTTCTGGGATGGGACCCCGCCAAAATTCTGCAGGCGTTATATGGGAAGGAACATTTCTGTTTCAGCTTCTGTCAACTCCAGCTTACACAGGCCTAAGTAAGAAAGTGGCCTGAGGGAAAACTTAACCTCCTCCCCCAAGGGATAAATGGGGAATAAGCCAGGCTCCTCCAGAAGTTTACTTTGGTCTAATTGCTTCCCAAATGGATGAAATCCTGGTATGTAGCATTGCAGCCTGAGTGCACATGGACCACAGGCCCATGTGGAGCCAGGGAGGCGGCCTACAACTGCTCGAGTGAACTATCCATGCTGGGCACAGGTGACAGCTCTGGCTTTTCTTGCCAGAGCACGTGTCTCCCTATTAGTCTCCCCATTAGCGGATGTGTGGATGCGAGGGGAATCCCTTCCTTTTTGGGCAGGTGGCACACACTCAGCAGTTTCTAGGCAGCTCAGTGTTACTCACACTCAACATCACAGGCTGGCTGATAATGATTGTAGTTTGAGCCTAAGCCCAGTTAGTCAAGAGGGTCATGACAGGAATTGTAATAAACATACATGTTATTCTAAGCCAATGTGAAAGGCTGGCCTGTGTCTGGTGAGGGACAGATGTGCTCCCCCTGCTAAAAGCAGCTGGAGATCAGATTACCTCACACTGTTTGCTCCCAGAAACTAAATTCAGGGGATAGTGAGGATTTTGTCTGTTAGTATTTCTGATCCAAAGTATATCCAGAATGTAATCTCTGATCCTATAAATGTGTACTTTTTAGATTTTTATTGATCTCTCCCTGCCGCCACACAGAGACTTTATTTCAGTTAGTCAATAAAAGAGGCTTCCTTACTCTTCCTACTTAAGAATAATCCATATCTGGCAAATTGATAAAACAAAACAAAAAACCCAGACTCAGTGCCATCAAGTTGATTCCAACTCATAGTGACCCCCATTGGGTTTCCAAGGCTGTAAATCTTTACGGAAGCAGACTGCCCCATTTTTCTTCTGTGGAACGGCTGGTGGTCAGCAACCAAACGCCACCAGAGCTCCTTGACAAGTTGATAGGTTTTATTATTATTATCGCAGCTGTCAACAGAAGCAGCATCAAATTTAATGTAGAGAGAGGAGGTAAAACAGGGATTTGAGAAAGTCTCGATGAGTGAGTTTGGCTGTGGGAGAGGCTGATTTCAGATTTGTGGAGGCAATGAACTTGAAATATCCTAGGATGTTTTGTTTTCTGTACTGTGCTGCTTCCAAGAACTTTGTTAGAAGTGCCCTGCTTTCATGATCACTATAGAGTACTCTCACCTGCCTAGATCAAGTGTGCTTTGAAACCAGGCCAGGCCACTTTAAGGAATATGATTAGCCTTCTTGGTGTGCCTCCCTTCCAGAAAGCTTGGTAGTCTTGTGTAGCTCCTGGGAAGTTGTTTTTAAATAAAAGTATACTTCCCAGGGATTAAACCAGATAGCCAAACCTGTTGCCATTGACTTGATTCTGACTCATGGCGATCCTGTAGGACAGAATAGAACTGCCCAGTAGGGTTTCCAAGGATTAATCTTTACCAAAGCAGACTGCCACATCTTTCTCCCATAGAGCGGCTGGTGGGGTCAAACTGCAGACTGGAGACTGAGCGCTTAACTGCTGTGCCATCAAGGCTCCTTTTCCTGGGATTAGTTTGTTGCTCTTTAAGGAATTCCACAGAACCTTGTTACTCAAAAGTGTTGTTAGTCTCTGGACCATGTGTCTCATCTGCTCTTGCCCTCCCACCCCTGGTAACCTTCAAAGAATGTTTCTTTCTGTGTGTAAACCTTTCCTTGACATTTTACAGTAGTGGTCTCATATGATATTTGGCCTTTTGTGATTGACTAAGCCTAAGGCATTTGACTGCTGACCAGAAGGTTGGCAGTTCAAACCCACCAGCTGCTTCACGGAAGAAGGACTGGGCAGTCTACTTCTGTAAAGATTTACCACCTCGGAAACCCAAAGTGGATTGCTAGGAGTCACTTGATGGCAGTGAGTTTGTTTTTGTTTATTTCTAGGCTCCTTTATAGGCGCTCTGGTAGCATAATGCCTAAGGCACTTGACTGCTAACCAGAAGGCCGGCGGTTCAAACCCACCAGCCACTTCTCAGAAGGAAGACTGGGCAATCTACTTCCGTAGTGATACTGCCTTGGAAACCCAAGGAGGGGTTGCTATGAGTTGTGTCTGACTCGACATCACATAACAACAACAATAGGCTCCTTAGAAAAGCAGACTCTCTGGGTCCCAGTCTGCAGTTTAACAAAATCCTTCCTTCCCTCCCCCCTGATTTTTATACAGATTAATGATTGAGAAGCATTGTTTTCAATGAATTTGAATCTGCCTTTTTTCAGTGAATTTGAACCTTCCTTTTTTAAAAAAGAATTTGTGATCTCATATATTAGGTTTGTTAGGCACAAAGTTTGAACTTAGCTACAAACCAAAAGGTTGGTGGTTCATACCCACCCAGAAGCACCTTGGAAGAAAAGCCTGATGATCTGCTTCCCCAGAGATTATAGCCAAGAAAACCCTTTGGAGCAGTTGCCCTGTGTAACACATGGGGTCACCATGAGTTGGAATCATCTCTACGGCAGCAGATTTGGTTTTATGGGCGTGTAAAAATCACAGTTTCCACGACTGTACTCTGGAAGCCCTTTCCTTTCTGTCACTCTCATCTGGGCACTCACAAAACCAATTACTTGGACTTCAGACTTTGAAATACCACAAGGAAGAACATTTCTGCAACCAGGCGCGGGCAGAGTAGAGTGACTAGTCGACTGAGTGATTAGTGTGCTGGCGTAGATACATTTAGTCCTCACCATGTGTGTCAGAGTAGAATCATGCTCCACAGGGCTTTCACTGGTTGATTTTTCAGGCTCCAGACCTTTTTCCAGAGGCACCTCTAGATGGACTCAAACCACCTTAACCTTTTGATTAGCTGCTGAGTGTGTTCACAGCACCACCCAGGAACCCATGCTCCTTACCAGTAGCATTCTGTTGGAGGGTCTGGGGAACCCAGCACTATGGGCCTGGTGGTCCTCCCGGCCTCATGGACGGGCTCCAGCAGCGGGAAGCAAACTTGCTGGTATTTGTTCTTATCCAGATGAGGCATTGAGATGGGAAGCTGTGTCTCTCTGTGTGGGCAGCTAGCTCTGCTTCAGGGAGGTGTTAATAGGTGAAAGGGAGTGTAAATTTATAAGGTGTATTATAAGGTTTCCTTTTGCTTTGAAAATTTCATCTCAGGTGGCAGCTAGCAGCAGCCCTGGGTTACTCCACTTCCTAGAGCTGGTGAATGTTAGACAGCCAGCCACAAACCTAGACGAAAGCTCAGGTGGAAGCATGTGTGTTTTCAGGCCTGACTGGTGGGATCACGGGGAAGAGGCTGATATTACTTTAAAGCAGCATGCAGGTTTTAGAGCACCTGACTTGGTGTATGTCTCGAGTAGTAAGGTCTTTAAAGGAAGGAAGCATGTGGTGTACAGAACCCTGAATTAGGAGTCCACACTCTTGGGTTCATATCCTTGGTGCCTCTGCTGACAGCTGTATGCCTCTGGGCACATGACTCAGTTGTTTAGGTCTGTGCCTTGTCTAGAGTCCTTTCAGGTGCTAATGTGGCTGTGACTTGAATTCTAATAATAGCAACAACTGTACTCACATATCTTGAGGGCTGACTATGTGCTGGGCAGGTGAGAAATGCTTTATTTAAAAAAAAAAAAAAAAAAAAAACCACAAAAACAAACTCACTGCCATGAGTCAGTTCTGACTCACAGTGACCCCCATTGGGTTTCTGAGGCTGTAAATCTTTATGGTAGTACATTGGTCTGTCTTCCTTCCATGGAGCAGCTGGCAGGTTTGAACCTCTCATCTTTTGATTAGCAGTATGGTGGCTTATCCACTACTCCACCAGAGTTCCTTATGCTTTTTATCAGGGCTTCTAAAATTTAATGTGCTTGGGATCACTTGGGATCTTGTTAAAAGAGATTGATATTTAGCAGGTCTGCGATGTATGGCAGTCTAC